TGATGGGGTTTCCCAGCTGTTGAGACACTCTAAGTTGACCTTGAAGGCAGACTTAGCAGAGAGGCTGGGAGAGCTGAGCTCTTTCCAGGCCTGCTTCATCATGCAAATTGACTTTCTTACCCTTTTGCTGCCTTTTTGAGATACACAATCTCAGCTGACGTGGGGGAGAGCAGGGTGGGGACTCTTTACTGGCAAGACTAATTTCCAAAGCAAATTAACAGCCCCGTTGCCTGTCCTGAGACAGCACAGGGACCACAGGGCTCCTCACTGCTGGGGGCTGGGGTCTTGCCTGGCTCCAGGGAGCACAGGGTGGGGGAGTTCCCTGGAGCTGCTGCAGCCCCATCCCTGCGGGCAGGGAAGGGTGATCTCCAGGAAGGTCGGGGAGGTGTGTGGCAGGGGGCTGTTGGAGACACAGCTTGGTCCCAAACCTGCTGCAGTCAGCAGGATGGTTTCCACTGGGGCTGGGTGCCGACCTCCCTGGTGAATGGTGAGCCCAGGAACAGCTGCTGTGTGTGTGAGGGGTGATCTCTCCAGAGGGTTTTCTGTCATGCAGCTGGCATCACGTATGCGTGACTTGAAACCCTAGAGCCTGCCAGGCCCCTCCGTGGCCCTCTCCCAACAGCCAGCTCCTGCTGCCAAAGGGATTTACTCCAGTTACACAGCTCACCCAATTATCTCCCATGACAAGGAAGAAAACTCGTTCAGTGATGAGAAATCATTACAAATGACCAGCTTTGTGAGTTTGGGAGGAACGAAGGCCCTGAACGGCGCCTGGTTGAACGCTCTGCCTGTGCTCTGTGTGATAAATAACAGCTGACTTTTCCATTGCTAGGAGATGAATCACTGTGGAGGCCAAATCAAAAAGGAGCCTCAGTCCAGCTAGGAGACCTGGGAAGGAAGCTGTTGGAGGAGAGACACGTACTAACTCCACTGGCCTCTAGTCTGTCTTACCCTTACTAACAAATGTCAACAACTAGGTAATGTCCTTCCTCTGTTCTTTCTGATGCTAGCTCAGGACTTGGGGGTCAAGGTGCAGAACCATGAGTTTTGCCCTCCTCTGGAGATAACTGTGTCTCAGAGGATAAGCCATGATCCATGTAAGATTTACTATCTGTTAGTGGAGTCTGGAAAATTTGAATCTAGTTCCAAAACCAGGCTGTGGATGAATAAAACCAGCCAGAGAGGATGTCAGCACAGAACTGGTTTAGACCCTCCTGCAGTCTGCCTCAGAACAAGAGACCTGAGTCAAGGCTGGAACTTGGGAACAGGCTTGAAAGCAGGAACATTTTATTTCCTTGCTGAGTTTTGGTGATGGGTTCAGGAAGCAGCAGGTACAGTTGTCTTTGGATTGATGGGAAGGTCTGCTTGTTGCAGCTGCGAGGACTTGGAGTGGGGAGGAAATAGAAAGGTCTGGATTTTGGGAGCTCACAGGTGGCAGGATTGTGACTGTGCCGTGTTTGCAGCTGTCCTGGGGTGTGGGGTGTTTCAACGCATCAGATTTCACTGGGTCTGGGTAAGGAGTGTGGCAAAGACCAGTGCCTTGGGTTCTCTCCAAAGTCAAATGAAGCCCCCGAGCCCTGGTGCACCTGGAGTGCTGTCCCGTGGAAACATTCCTTCCTGCCTCCCAAAACACTCCAGTTACATCCTGCTGCCTGAGATTCAGCTCCTTCATTCAGCTCAGACACCACTGGTTCCAAAGTCTGGGCAGGGCTTTCTCCCAGCAGCTGCACTTTGTGTGGTGAAGTGTTTCCTTGAATTCACTGGGAAGGGACTTGCTCTTCATCCTGCAGTGTGACCTGGCTGCAGGATGTGCTTCCCCAGTGTGAGTCAGGGGAGGAAGAGCTGTGCTGAGGGGAAGGCACTGTCTGTGCTCGCATCCCAAACCATCCTCCATCCAGCCACTCCCCTCCAGCTCCAGCTCAGAGGTAGCCCATGAAATACAAGTAATACCTGCAGAGAAATCATACCCCTGGGGAAGGTGCCATGTACTGACCACTGAGGTGCTGAGGGCTGGTGAAGTGAGCTTCAAGGCAGGTTAAAAATAAGTCATTAGCATAGCTCTGCCACGGTGGCTGGGTTGTCAGGCCCATGATGCCCCAAACACGAGGTTGTGGTGTCCTGTTTGTGCTTCTCCTTGCAACTTTTGTGCCTCTCCTTGCATGAACGTGTGTATGAGATCTACTAACCTGAGGGCACAGCCTGTTATTGCTGGAAGGACCAGGATGTGGGCTTTGGAAAGGTCTGAAGACTGCAGAGGAGGACAGAGAAGCTCTAGAGGAAGGCAGAAACCTGCACCTGGAGCTAAACACTCTTGGATGCTTTGTTATTGTGCCCAGGGTATTTTCATAGACCAAGGTCACAGGCGTGCAGTGGAAGCTGCTCTCATCACTCTGCCTGCATGGAGGCATAAACAGCCATGGGCTTTTGCCTTGCAGCAGATCAAGTGGTCCCTCAGCTTCTAAAATGGGCTTTATAAGAGTGCCAAGGATGTGGAGGCTCCTGAGGGGAGCACAGAGAAGCCCAGAGGTCTTGGAAAAGCACCTCACAGGACTGATGGAGAACCTGGGTCACGACTCCCCTCGTAAGAAGGGACACGAGGTGATGCCAGCCCAGAGAGTGGGGAGCTGCTGCTCCTGCACAGAGGCTCGGCGGGGGGCTGGGGGTGAGATGCTGCATCCTGGGGGGTTCAGTGCTCAGCACCCCGTGTCCCAGCTCCCCGCAGAGAGGCCGGATAGCAGAGGCGCTGCTGGCGGGGCAAGGTGCAGCCAGGAGCCCGGTGCACTTCCCCTGCTGCCCAGCTCCCCCTCTGCCCTGACAGGCCCCTTTCTCTTGCAGGGAGCAGCCAATCTTCAGCACCAGGGCCCACGTCTTCCAGATCGACCCCGCCACCAAGCGGAACTGGATCCCTGCCAGCAAACACGCCCTCACTGTCTCCTACTTCTACGATGCCACGCGCAACGTGTACCGGATCATCAGCGTGGGGGGCACCAAGGTAGGGGCATCTCCTGGCAGCAGCACACCAGCCCCAGCCTCTGCTGCTGTGGGTTTTGGTGTCAGGTTGGTCAGTGCTCGGCACGAGCCCTCCAGCATCTTCCCCACAGGCAGTGGAAGGTCAAACGCTGCCCCCATGCTCAGCTGTATTTATGGCACCGTCGAGTCTGTGCTGATGGAGAATGTGCCCTAAGTGTGGGACTGATGTCACACCTCCCTGCCCCACTCTCCTCTCATCTCTGGGCATGCAGAACAGGAGCTTTTCCTGAGAGCCTTTATCCTGGGCTAAAACCACTCCTGTAGCTGTAATGAAGCCACAGCTAGAGGCTGAGGGCGTCTCAGAGGTCGGCTCTTCACTCCCTTCCACAGAACACCATTAACTCTCCCTGAACTGCTCTTGAGAGGCATTTTCCTGACTTGTTCCTGCAGTCTTCCCAGGCAATTTGTTTTGTTGCTACCCTAACCAGAAAAGAGTGTTTTGTAATAGCTAGGCCTGACTGCTGGTTAAGTTTTTCCTTTTTTTATCTTACTTGCTATGAAAATGAAGAACATCGGAAAGTTGTTAAGTCCCCAGAGACACTTATCTTGTCTCTTATCTTCTTTTTCCAGCAATGGAGGAAGCTGATGATACTAAAGCTTTTTTTTCCCCTTTGTCAGTAGACAAGATCATTGAGATTCTTTTGTGTCGTGCAGCTGCACTAGAAAGACTTTTGGTCACCAAAAGCCTGAGCTGTTGTTTGACAGATTAAAAGCCAGAGCTTTCTACCCTTAGTTCTGAGAGCACCCAGGGATTATAGTGATCAATCCCACCACAGGACAGCAGGACAGAGCTTTCTCTGACTCTCATTGTTGTCTCTCTCTACAGGCAATCATCAACAGCACTATTACTCCCAACATGACCTTCACCAAGACATCCCAGAAATTTGGGCAATGGGCAGACAGCCGAGCCAACACAGTCTATGGCTTGGGCTTTGCTTCGGAGCAACACCTCTCCCAGGTAATGCTGCTGGTGCTCCCAGAAAGCTGGTGCTAGCAGGGGGAGTGTCCCTGAAACCCTGAGGAGAAAAGACTTTAGGAACCCCTGTGCTGAAATCTAATGCAAGATGCAAAGCTGTTAGGAAGAGCTTTAAGTAATGTTTGCAGAGCGTTTTGAGCATCACAAATTGAATTAGGACTTCAGGCTCCATTTCAGTCATTGCTCTGTAGCTAACCCCACAGCCCTGAGTGCCAGAGTCATGGGCAGGGCACAGGCAGGAAGGGGCTACTCCCTGAATTTTATTTAGTTGAAGAGAAATTACTCAGCATGATGAATGAAGCTGCAAAGAGAGGAGGAACCCAGGCATCAGTTCTAGTTTGTTCTGCATTTCGGCGTGGCACCGGAGTGACTCTTCTGCTCCCCTCTAGTTTGCAGAGAAGTTCCAGGAAGTGAAAGAAGCAGCTCGTTTGGCAAGGGAGAAGTCCCAGGATAAAACAGAGCTGACCAATCCTGCCCTGAACATCACCTCTCACCAGGTAATGCTCGGGAAGGGGTGTGAGTGGAGCTCCCTGCAGAGCAAGGGCAGCTGGGGGAAGTGGCCACTGTGCTCATCTCCTCTAGCAGCTTCCCACCTTCATCCCTTTCTCTCAGAGCTTTTGCCAGACATTGAAGTTGGAGCTTCACATTTTGATGACATCCGTGGCTCTGAGGTCACTCTACTGAAACACATGAAGTAGATTAGCTAATGAGTGATTAAATGGAGCTCCTGGGAAGGTTCCCACTCTTCCTTCTTTGCCAGTTAAACTACTGAAACCATTTGATGTCTCATAAAGCCATGCTGGAGGTGTCCTTTTTTTTTTTTCATTGTGGTGGTTGGGATTTTTTGGTTTGGTGGGTTTTTGTTGTGTTTCTTTTTTTTTTCTTTGGAGCTGCTGGCTGTCCCTGGGCTCAGTGTGACAATAACAGGCAAGTATCACATAGGATTGTGTGTTGCCTGCTTTGGAGATCATGGGAAGGAAGACATGTAGCATTTCCAACCATTTTCCTTCCTCTTCTGGAGCTTCAGGGGCTTCTTCTCCAAATGGACAGGTGATGGTGCTGTCCATGGGAGTCTGGAAAGACAAAGTGATTTCTTAGAGCTGGTGACTGAGGAGTCCTGGCCAGACTTCTTCTGTTTCTGTCCTATTTCCACTGTGGAAGAGAAGCTGCACTGTGAGAGCAGGAATCCCAGCCCCCTGGGGATGGTAGAACCACACACATGACAGCCAGTCATTCCATTTTCTTTCCCCCAGGAGACCAAGCCAGAAAGCTTGAGCCCATCACCAATCATTCCCTTGCACTCGTTACCTCTCTGCTGTAGAACCAACCCAGCTCCAGCAGCAGTGGGATGGAGGGGGGAGGACAAGCTCTGGAGAACTCCACTCTGCCTTTTCTCATGGTGAAGTGGTGCTGATAGTGACGTTGCCCTCCCAGATAGCTCACTCCAGAGGTGACTCTGCATGTCCCAGAGCTCCTGGCAGTAGGGGAGGAGCTGGAGGATGGAGGACTCTGCGTTCTCTGGGCTGGGTACAGATGGAGTGGCAGCAGAGGAGGAGGAGGAGTGTGAACAGTACTTTGGCCTGCAAGGGAAGGAGGGGGAGGTGGAGGCAGTGGCTCTGCAGCGACTGGAAATGTCATGTGGGGTGCAAAAATGGGGAAAATCTGCCTAATTTTTGGTTCCTGCTAACTCCAAGCCCCACCCTGATGGGTGGCAAATGAAGAAGGGGGTAGAGTAGAGCAGAGCATTCAAAGCAGAACTAAAGGTTTAGGTAAAAGACCCTGGTCAGTAATAATTGCCCAAGGCAGAGATTCATGGCTAGCTTGCAGCCTCCAGCTGCCCTGGCCAGGAGGTGGAGGCTGGGAGTAGGAATACTCCTTATGCTGTTTCCACCAGGCAGGACTCATCAGGTGCCACAAGAGGACACGTTCATCTCCCCTCTGCCACCATGGCAACTTGCAGCAGGAGGGATGAGGAGGTCGGGGGGGTGAAGGTTAAACACAGAGCAGGGGAGTGGCCCAAGGCTCTGTTCATGCTTCTCACCTGAAACTGCCACAGCATGAGCCCACACTCACTCTTCCCACTCAGCCTGCCTCGTTCCTCAGTGGGAGAGATGGACAGGAGCATGGACAGGAGCTTGGACAGGAGCATGGACACAGCCCCAGCCAGAGCCATCCTGCAGCCAGCGTGCTGGCAGTGTCACATGCAGTGTCCCCTGCCACGTGGGCGTGCAGACCTTGTCCTGCATCCCCTGCCCTACTCATGGTCCCTTCTCCCCCTGTCCTGCTGCTGATTCACAGTCACCCCATCAGCACAGCCTCAAACAGGAGTTTCATCCTTGAATAATTGATGGCGTTTCTGTTTGCCAGCGAGCAGATCTGTCTCCTGAAATTAAATCAAGGCTCCCTCATTTTCTGCATCTGCCTTACTTTACTTACTTAGGCTTCACATTTTTTTTAGAGCTGGGGAAATCCCAGGGTAGCAGCTCTCTTCTGTCCTCTGGTACCTTTTAGGGTGATCTCCATCCCACTTAGCATCCCGATCACAGAGGATGTCACTGCAGATAATGTGAGAATAAAACAGTGTGGAGCATCTTCAGCTGTTCTTAGGTTCAGCTGGACTCACAGGGGCTCAACACACCACAACAGCAAAATTCTGCCTCTTCCCTGCCTCAGTTTCCCCAGCTCGTGGTAAAGGTGAGGCAGGATTGTGTTTCCAGGTCTCACCTCTCAGTGACACTCTGGAAGGGTTCATGGAGCTGCTGTTGGATCGTCTGGCTCTATTTATAGGTGTCAGCTGACTCCAAAGGCAGGTGACTGTCAGGTGAATGTCACAGGCACTTGAGGGCTACCTCTGAACTCCAGCAGGCTCGCCAGCCACCTGGTCTCACAGCCCCCAACTTAGGATCTCAGAGATTTGTTGCTCAGAGTCTTTTTATAGCTCAGTTTGCCCTGTCAATGCCAAGCAGCTTCCCTGCTGGGAGAAGAGCCTGTGCAGAGGGGCTCTTCTGGAGGGGCTGGAGGATGTGAAGCCTGCTTTGACCTCTACATCTTCATCCCTGCTCCACTGTCAGCTCCCTCCACCCTGAGAGGACAAACTGTCTCTGCCAGCTCTGATGGACGCAGGGACATGGAGCCATAGAGGGGGGGATACTTCAGTGCAGGAGCTGTGAGATTCTTCTCCCACACCTTTGGAAAGTGGGTGCCACAGGCACCTGAGCAATAGCAGAGTTTAGAATCAGAGAATCATTTTGGTTGGAGGAGCCCATTAAGATCATTGAGCCCAACCCTTCCCCCAGCCCTGCCAGGTCCCCACTGCCCCGTGTCCCTCACACCACATCTCCACGGCTTGGGAACCCCTCCAGGGGTGGGGACTCCACCACTGCCCTGGGCAGCCCGGCACAGCCCTGGGCAACCCTCCAGGGCAAGAAATTGTTCCTCAGGGGCAACCTCAACCTCCCCTGGGGCAACTTGAGGCCATTTCCTCTTGTCCTGTGTTTCCCTCCCTTGAGCCTGAGCAGCACTATCCCAGTGGCACCTGGTGTCTTAATCCAGAGTACAGCAGCTGGACTGGTGACTGGACCCAGGTGCCCTGGCAGGTCTGTGCTGAGGATTTATTAAGTCTTTGCTCTGAGAACCAGCAAGAAAATCCTATTAAGAATTCAGCAAAACCCTGCAATTGTCAGCTCGAGCAGGTCCAGCTGGAGCAGCTCAGGTGCTGTGCACAGCCAGGGCACTCAGCTTACAGGCTGTAACGTGGCTGGCATTTGCCAAGGGGGAGCTGAGGGCCAGAGAATTCCATCCCTCCAGTCAGGAGGGAGGAATGGCTGGTGTGGGCAAGCTGGGAGCCCACCTGCTCAGGGTGTCTGTGCACTGGGATCGCTGCCCCAGCGTTGCACAGGGACAGGGAAAGGGAGGACGTGGCAGCAGGGCAGCTGCTGGAAGAGCAGAGCACTAACCTACCTGTCCAAGAGAGAGCCCCGTGTCTGCAGGGCTTCTGGGGTCATGGCTGGTGCTGCTGAGGGTCTTGGCCAGCCCTGGTCATGCAGACAAGCACAGCCCTGCCTCGGGGTGAGGAGTGAGAGCCAGCGATCCTCAGGAGAGCGCAGGGACCCAGAGCTAGCCCTTGAACCCAGGTGCAGAATGAGTTTGCAGACACCTCACAGCCACACGGCCTGGTCTTCACTGCTGTGTGCTAACTCTTCCTCCTCCTCCAGGTACTGCCCAGCCCCATCATCAGCTCCAATGGGCCAGGAGAAGATAAACTCTTCCGGAGCCAAAGCGCCGATGTGGAGATAACGACGGAGAAGGAGCGGCTGAAGAAGATGCTCTCCGAAGGGTGAGGCTGCCACAGACTCTGCTCCTGACTCCTGAACTCTCTGTTCTGGCAGGATTTGGTCCAGGTCCCTGTCCTCCCAAATGCTTTTGACCCAGCACTGCTTCTGTAGGTAGCTGAGCAATGCCCCATGTCCACTGCTGCTGCTCAAACCCTCCACGGGACCGATTTTGCCTCTTCCCCAGCAGAAAGTCACTGCAGCATGGAGCTGGAATCCTCTGTTCAGGCAGCGTGGGAAGGAGGATGCTTTGTGCCTGCAGCTGGGATGAGCTGATGCCAGTTATCCACAGATCACTAGTTTGTGATAGCAGAAGATGTCCACACTTTTCCAGCGGGTCCACGGCTGCATTTGTGTTAATTCCCCTGATATTCCAGCAGAATCTCTGCTGCTTCTGCCCTTTGTCTCTTCAAAAGGCTCTGGGCTGGATTCTACCCTGGGGCTCCCATTGAACTCCCAGCTGAACACTCAGAATATTTTTAAATCAAAACCAGGTGTCCTTTGCTACCTTCTCCTGAGTCTGGGGTGGCAGTTTTATTCAAAGCAAAGTCAGATCTAACAAAGATTTTAAAACTATATTCATGGTCCCACCTTGGCAAGGTCCTTGGCAGGAGCTGCATCTCCCCCACCCCATTAATCTCACAGTGTGGTTTCTGCAGTTTCAAGCAAGCACGGGTGGCCTCAAAGCCCAATGTTATCTGGGGATAAAGCAAAGAGCTGCAGATTCAGGGCTGGAAGAAGCATTTCAATTTGGGAAATGACAGGAGAGGCCAATGGAGAGCAGGGAGCTGCCCAGCCCTCCTCAGAGTGTGGTTTCAGCACACGTTCACTGGCAAGGAAACCTCCCTGCTGAGACCCTCCCCCTCCCCTGCACACTCCCCTCTTCTCTCACACAGCTCGGTGAGCGAGGTCCAGTGGGAGGCCGAATTCTTCAGCCTGCAGGACAACAACAACAAGCTCGTGGCTGCTCTCCATGAAGCCAACGCCAACGTGGACCAGTGGAAGAAGCAGCTGGCTGCCTACCAGGAGGAGACGGAATCGCTGCGGCAGCGGGTGAGCGCGGCAGGGCCCGGGCAGGGCAGGGGGAGAATCATAGAATCATAGGGGTTGGAAGGGACCTCGAAAGATCATCCAGTCCAACCCCCCTGCCAGAGCAGGGTCACCTAGAGTACATCACACAGGAAGGCGTCCAGGGGGGTTTTGAATGACTCCAGTGCAGGAGACTCCACAACCTCTCTGGGCAGCCTGTTCCAGTGCTCCGGCACCCTCACAGGGAAAAAATTTTTCCTGATATTCACCTCGAACCTCCTATGCTCCAATTTGCACCCATTACCCCTTGTCCTATCATTGGTCATCACTGAAAAAAGCTTAATCCCATCTTCCTGACACTCACCCCTTACATATTTGTAAACATTGATGAGGTCACCCTTCAGTCTCCTTTTCTCCAGACTAAAGAGACCCAGCTCCCTCAGCCTTTCCTCATAAGGGAGATGCTCCACTCCCCTAATCATCTTTGTAGCCCTATGCTGGACTCTCTCCAGCAGAAGCCCCATCCCCCAGCCAGACGGTGCCCTTGACCTCATTCCCCCATCCCTGGGTGTCAGCAGGAGGTGGGATGGAATTCCAGAATGCTGCAGGAGCCTGGCAGGGAAAACGTGTCAAGGAATAAGGCCGTGTAGCTGGGGAGCTCTCACAAGAGCTCCTGTTTTCTCAGTGTGCTGAGTCCCTGTGGGTAGAGGGAGGAAACCAGAGCTCAAGTCAAAGAACACCAGCTTCCCTTCCCAGTGCCAGCTGCCAGCAGTGCTGGGCAAGGCCCGTGTGCCCCCTGAGCTGGGCATCAGGGCAGTCTTCTGGCTGCTGACAGGAAGGATGAAGATTGCTCTGTCTGCTATAATTAGCTGGAGTCCGAGCTGTGACATGATGAAAGCTGGGTGGTGAGGTACAAAGGAGCCCTTGTTTGGTTGGGATAATAGAATCCTTTGACCTACGTCATGTCAGGGAGGTCACAGATCAACTGAGGAGGTCTCTGTGGTGGGGCAGAGGAGTCACGGTCACACGGCTGCTCTGTGGGAGGGAGGAGCTGCAGAGGACTTGGGAAAGGGTTTTAGGGCAGTGGGGGTTTGGCTGCAAAAGGACTCCAGAGCCCTGGGGAAGGCTGCCTGAAGCCATTTCACTTCTAGATAGCTCATTCAAAAGCCAGCAGGGGTTTAGAGCAATTAGCAGCTGTTGCCACTCGCTGGCTGCTGTGTGGCTGGGCTGTGCAGCAAACAGCTGGCCCCAGTGCCCACTGTGCCCCTGGCTGATTCCCAGGGCTGGAGTCAGAGCAGCACAGAACCAATTCTCTCCTCTGCAGCAGGACCCTGCCCTAGGGATGTCAGGGAGCTTGGCTCGTGGGTGGTTTTGGGGCTGCCTTGTCCCTGCTCTGTACATACTCAGCTCTCTGGGGGCTCTTCTCCCAGCCAGGAGCTAGGAGTGAGGATTCCATGAGCTTGGGTGAAAGGCAACTGCTGGGGACTTTACAGAATCACATAAGAAACTGTAACTCCATGAAACACAGAGTCAGGGAATCAATTTGGTTGGAAGAGACCTTTCAGCTCATGGAGTCCAACCATCCCCCAGCCCTGCCAGGTCCCCACTGCCCCGTGTCCCTCACACCACATCTCCACGGCTTGGAAACCCCTCCAGGGGTGGGGACTCCACCACTGCCCTGGGCAGCCTGGCACAGCCCTGGGCAACCCTCCAGGGCAAGAAATTGTTCCTCAGGGACAACCTCAACCTCCCCTGGGGCAACTTGAGGCCGTTTCCTCTTGTCCTGTCCCTTGTCCCTTGGGAGCAGAGCCCGACCCCCCCCTGGCTCCAGGCTCCTGTCAGGAGCTGTGCAGAGCCAGAAGGCCTCCCCTGAGCCTCCTTTGCTCCAGGCTCAGCACCCCCCGCTCCCTCAGCTGCTCCTCCCCACACTTGGGCTCTAGACCCTTCCCCAGCAGCTCCGTTGCCCTTCTCTGGCCACACTCCAGCCACTCAATGACATTCTTGGAGAGCAGAGCCTAAAACCAACATCTGGATTGTCACTAAATCAGAGCAATCTGGGACCAGAGCTGATTGATTCTGGCCACGACCTCATGAGCCTGACAGCTCACAAGCACTGTTTACCTGGACCCTGGCAGAGGCCCAGTCCAGCCAGAGTTGTGCTGCTGCCCCTGCTCGTGGGAAAGCCTCACCCCAGGGTCTGGGCCCTCTTGCTCTGAGGGTACCCATGAGAGGAGCTGCACCCCCAGAGCCCAGCACAGGCCCTGTGAGCACTTGGGCCCCAGCAAATAGCTGCTGCAGACCTTTGGATGAGCTTTGAAAAATGAATCCTCTTCATGAATAATCTAAGCCACTGAATGTTTCAGGACTGGGGAGCACTCTTGGGAAAACCCTTCCTGCCTGCTCTGCCCTGCTGCAGTAACTCCTGTGCCCTCAGCAGGGGATCTGTGGATCTGGATCCAGCCATCACTTTGGGTTGTAGGCTCATGCTTGATGCCCACCAGTCAGGCTTTGCTGGGAGTGGAAGGCTGCAGGAAGAAGTGGAGACAGAGTCTCTAGACCTAGTTTTGCTGCAATGTTTCTGTGTGTGGCTTAGGCAGAGCAGGAGACAGATTTTTTTTTTTTCCCTAGCAGCCCTGGGGTGGGAGCTGCTACCCTGTTGTAGGCCAGGCTGGGTTTGCAAGGAAGCCAAAACAGGACAGAATGGCTGTGGGTGATAAGGGGCCAGGACACTCCTGTACCTCTGGGCACACCTTCCCTGTGCTTGTTCCCTGTAGGTGGCAGAACTGGAGTCCCAGGGGGCTCACGACTCCTCCAGTGAGAACAACAAGGACGAGCTGAGCCAAACCCTGGAGGAGCTGGAGCTGCTCATCAAGGCTAAAGACGAGGTAATACCCCCCGAGGCAGAGCAAGGCCTGCAGTGGAGCTGCCTGGCAGTCACCAGCACCCCCTCCATCCTGTCAGAGATCAGAGGGCCCCTCGTGCTGCTGCAGATGCTGCCTGGGAGAGCCAGGAGCCCCTGTGAGGCAGCACAGCCCCTCAGAGAGCTCCCTCCCCAGGGAGACAAAGCTGAGTGGGAGCCAAGTGCTGGGAGTTCCTGTGGATTGCCTTGAGTGGGGAGGAAGGACAGGGCTCTGTCCTACCCATCCCCTCTCAGCTGTCTGCAGCTGCACTTGGCCTCTAGTGTGGTAATTGCTTCTTGCTTTCACTGCATTTAAATGAAAGATTTAAAGCAGGGGTTTAATTACAGAGGCTGTGAAGGAGGGAGATGTGGAGAGAATCTCTGTGAGTTACACATCCCCAGGCTCTCTGGTGGCTGTGCTTTGGCAGAGCAGCTGGATGGAGCCTTGGGGTTGGAGCCACAAACAAGGATTGAAGATGGGAGATGTTTTGGGGTTCCTGATCCTTACTGAGAAGAGATCTCTGCCCTCTCCCCAGCCCTGCTCAAACTAGAGGCAGAACGCTGGGGCAAGGCAAAGGGGTACAGAGGCTCTCCCCCAACAGGAGACCCTGGCCCCAAGGGCCTGGGAGCTGATCCTGAGCAAGGATGCAGCAGGGTGCAGAGACCAGGGAACCTTGCTGGTGCTCAGCTTGCTGTCTTGGTTAGGGCCTGAAGTCTTACAGGGAGTGACAGCAGAAGCTGAAGGTTAGAAAGGGAGGTGTGAAGATTTGGAGCTGAGTGTGGTTGTGTGATCCTGAGGGTGAGGGAAGGGGCCTTGCCTGGGGTATGTGGTGGGAGTCAGTCCCCCTGGGGCAGGAGTGGGTCTGATGATGCTCTTCCTCCTTGTGTTCCAGGAGATTCAGATGCTGAAGAACCAGAAGTGTGGCCGGTGGGAAGCAGAGGGGGAGCGTGAGGAGACGCTGCAGAAGCTGCAGGTGAGGGGGGCAGATCTGGGGCACCTGCACTGAGTGGAGGGACCCGTCCCCATTTCTTCCCTGAGCCAAAGAACAAATGCTGCAGCAGCAGCAGCAAGCCCAGCCCTCACCTCTCCCCTAGCTCTTGCAGTACCCCTGACGTGGGACTGGAGCAGGACCCGTGGTGCCCTGGGACCCTCCATCCCTCTGAAGCCCTGGTAGCCTGCTGGCTGGCCAGGCCTTGCTGGGGAGCAGGGCTGTGGCTCGGGCTGGCTGGCAGGAGGCACACAAGCTGCTCTGCACCTCGGGGCCAGGGCACAGATGGGGGCAGGGTCTGTTGTGCAGTCTCTGGGGGCACTGCCTGCCTCTGAGCTGCTGAGCAGGGGGATCTGCTGTGAGGGGGGCTCAGCCCCTTACGCAGGCACTGGCTTTCATGGCAGGATAATCACAGAATCATAGACTGGAGACTTTAAAAGCCCATTTACTCCAACCCCCTGCAGGGAGCAGGGACATCCCCAACTAGTGCAGGGTGCTCAGAGCTTGGTCCAACCTCCCCTGGGATGGTGCCAGGGATGGGGCAGCGCCCACCTCTCTGGGCAGCCTGGGCCAGGGGCTCACCACCCTCAGGGTTAAATTTGTAAAATATACAAATTCTCTGTGGCCTAAGGAATATAATATCTCCAAACACCAAATACCATCAGACCTGGAGATGCTGGGCACGTGAGGAGATCTGCACTTCCACACCTTTGCCAGCTGCAAGCCAGTGCCTGGGTTTGGGGAACGTGCTCCTGTGAGTGCAGGTGCTGGGGTGCTGCAGCTCAAGGCAGGGAGGTCCCCCAGGGAAGGAGCTGGTGGGGGGAGCAGGGCTGGCTGGGTGTGGGCAGCCTGGCACAGGGCTGGTGGGGGGAGATAAGGGTGGTGACCCATGAGCAGTTGGTGCTGGAGCAGCTTGTGTGTCTGGCAGGAGCTGGAGGCACGCAACGCAGAGCTGGAGAGACGCCTGCACCTGGCTGAGCAGACCCTGGCAGAGACCCTGGCTGAGAGGGAGAAGATCCAGAACGAGGTCACCAAGGTGGCAGAGATGATGGATGTGAAGATATTTGAGCTCAGTGAGATCCGGCAGGGACTGGCCAAGCTGGTAGAGAGCAACTGAGCAGCAGCACCCTCCGAGGAGACACCTCCAGAGGAGGGGAGCCCGAGCTGGGACTGATCACTGGCAGCATTCACGGTCACACAACTGCCCCAGGGTCCACTTGGGCAGGGACACCAACATACCAGCAGCTGCCTGGGCAGCCTGGAGCCCAGCTGCAGCCACCTGCTGCCCTCTGAGCACCCAGACTGAGGGTGGGGGGGACCTGAGCTCCTGGGTCCTCTACAGGGAACATCTACAAGCCAGAGCCAGAGGTTCTGGACCCTGCCCTGGCTGTGGCACGGCCCAGAGGCAGCAGCTGCCCCTGTGCTGCCTCCCCAGCCTCCTGCTGCCACGCTGTGTCTCCAACACTTGGACTCTTTTCTAGGGGAAGGGGCTGAGCAACCTTCACGTTTTTTTTCAGTAGTTTTTTAGGAAACCACTTGCCTTTTGCAGATCAGCTGCCTGTTTCCCACCTAGGGAGGGAGGAGGAGTTCCAGCACACCCAGGACAACAGTTGCTCCTTTTCCTCTTGCCCAGCCCTCCCTGCATCGTGTCTCTAACAGGATCCAGTAGCACTGGTCGCTGCCAGGAGCCTCCAGAGGGAGCAGAGTCCCAGTGCAGAGAAGGGAGCTTGCCTGCCTGTGGCTCCTTCCCACTGTTCAGTCACATCCTCCAGAGGAAACAACCTGCAGGTTTTAAAGCTCTTATTAGTTTTCCCACAGTGGGGATCTGTTAAAACTTTAAGCTGAGAGGAGCAGAGGCTTGGTTGGGAAAGGGGCACTTGAGAAACGGGACATCCCTGAGGGGATGACCAACAAACTGCTGGATTGGCAGCTCTCCTGGCCTCTGAGGGCTGCAGTTAATTGAAATTAAATGGAGCAAATCCCAGTTGCTCTTGGTTTCTTCTTTTTTTTGACTGGGAAGCAGTCCACAGAGGTGTCCTGCTCTGTGTCAGCCAAGCAGTGGAGGGGACAGGCCCAGCCTGCCACATGTGGCCAGGTGAGAGCAGAACAGGAGGGGTTTGGAGTATACTGGTCCCAGTGCCCTGCAGGGCCCGTGGGGAGGCTGGGGGCTGCCTCAGGGACTGGCTGGCTACAGGACTGGAGCAAAGCCCTGGGGGCAAACCCCAGGAACCTGGGAAGTTGTGTCCCCCCACAGCACCCACCGTGCCCTCCTAGCTCCCTAGGAGCATGCTTGGCCCTAGGAGCTGCTTGGCCCTGTGCTGAATGATGAAGTAGAAGTAGTTAGTAACCTTAGAGGAGTGCTGATGGGTTTGGCTCTCATTGTTGGGGTTTTTTTTTTGCCCTCTGTGCTGCTGTAAGTTAGGCAGAGCCAGCAGTGATCCTGGGAGCGTGTCCCAGGTCTGCAGAGCCCCTGGGGCTGAGCAGGGGCTGGCTGAGGAGCCCTCTGCACAACCAGCAGGGCTTTGCCTCTGCTCCCCCTCCCCTGGTGACCCCCAGAGGAGCCCACAGCCCCCACACTGCTGTGAGCCAGGGCAGGAGCTGGCTCTGGCCCCCCAGGAGCCTGCTGGAGTGAGGGTGAGGGGCTGGGGACTGTGCTGGGTGGTGTCCACCAAAGCCCTTCCCTGTCCCAGGGGTGCTGAGGAAACATGGAGATTTCCAGACCCGTGTAGCCAGGGAAGGGATTTTCTGTTATGGGGCTGGGATTTTTTGTTGGTATTTACTTTATTATCATTTTCTTTTGCATGAAGTGTTCTCCCAACTGTATGGGGATGGAGCTACTGTCATAATATTTGTTTCAGGGTATTTAAGAAGGGAAAGAAGTGAGTTGCAAAAATTTCTAGGGGCTTGTTTCCCACCCTATGCCAGTGTTGATGTTTTATTCCCACAGGAGCAGGCTTCTTTTGAAATAGAGATGAGCTCCCAGGAAGGTGTGTTTGCTTTGCATCTCCATCACTGTAACGTGGAATGGGGGGTGGGATTGGGGAGTCTGGGGGAAAGAAAGTGGAGCAGAAGTTTCTCATGCTCTCCCCTCTCTCACATGTCTCTCCTGTGGCTGCATCCCACAAGGTGGAGCTGGGAATGGATCCTTAAATTGGGGCAGTGGCCATTTCCCAGCCCAGGCTCCTGGGCAGTGCTGTGCTGGGGCTGGGCAGAGCTGTGTGTGCCACTCCTGGGTGAGTCAGCTCTCCTGGGGGAGCCCTGCTCAGCCCCAGACCATCCCCCAGCAGGGGGAGGGAGAACCTGAGTCAAGCTGCTGCACGTCCAGCAGGACTCCCTCTGCGTGGAGGCTGCAGCCTGGAGACAGCAGCTCCCACAGCTTCATGGAGCCATGGAGCCCCCCGCTGCCTGCCACTGCCCCCAGGACCTGCTCTGGCCTGGGTCAGGCAGCTCTAGAGCACAAGACCCAACTCTTAAAGCTATTTAAGACTCTTCTTGTCCCTTAGGCATTTTACATCCCCAAAGCATGACCCAGCATCACTGGAGAACTCCCCCTAGCCCTGCAGCAAAGCCCACTGACCCGAGGACAGGCTGGGCTGAGTGCAAGAAGGTCTGCAAGTCATGCAACAAGTGACAAACTGAAGGAATCTGGGGCTAATCTCCCAGTGCCCACCTGCAGGGAGCTCTCCTTGTCTCACACATCATGGCTCAGAGTCTGCTGGGGCCAGACTCACATTAAAAAATGCAGGGAAAGAAAAAAAAAGGTAATGAAACAACACTGTGAGAAAGCAGAAGCTCCAGGGTGCTGCTGATCCTCATGTCCCAGGTGATGGCCCAGCCTGGCTGTGACTGCCTGGCAGGTCACAGGGGTCTGCTGGGCCTGGCCCTGTCCCCCTGGCCTGGCCCTTTCCTCTGCCAGCAGCAGGGGCTGTTTTCCTTTGCACCCTCCCCACGGGGGCTGGTTGGAATTCTTTTCCTCACCAGCAGAAGCTGAGGAGTGGTTTCTGAGGAGATCTGTCCTGTGCCTTTTCTCCAGGCATCTCAGGGCGGGGTGATGGATGGTCTGGGAGGCACTTTCCATTGCAGTCTTCCCTCTTCTGAACTAATGAAACCCCATTTATCACCAGCCACTTCCACCAGCACCCTAAATCTGCACTCAGTGAGGACACAACCCTGCAGACAGCATACAGCAAAGCACTAATTCTGCCCTGCTCTGGTGGGTGTGTGAAAAGGGCTTTCAGAAGAGCAGCACTGACCCATCCCCACCCAGCCCTCCCCACTTCCCTGCTCCTGCTTCTTCTGCCCCAAAAGGGGCAAATCTTGTGTTCCAAAGGGCAGCTCTGGGTGGCTGCAGTTTTATGTTTGCTTCTGCCTTACAGTGACTGTGACTGTCAGCAACCAAATCACTTGGCTTCCGTGCTGGAGGAGAAGTGCTGCTGATTGCAGGTACCCCCAGACATCTAATTCTTTCAGCAAATTACGATCTTAATTATTCATAGAAAACCTAGACAGAACATGACTAAAGGGAACCCGGGGGAAATGGCTCACACAGGAGAGGAGGGTGAGCAAATAAAACATCTTGCAGCCTTCCCTTCCTCACACGAGGTCCTGATGAGCAGCAGCAAGGTGTGATGTTCCCCTCAGAGTCCAGAGCTGAGACAAAGCCTCTCTGAGCAGCTCAGCCAGAGGAAACAAAGCTTTGCTGTCACAGGACTTGCCTGTAGTAGAGCCTCAGAGAAAGGATGTGTCTGATGCCAATGTCACCCAGCAGATGCCACCAGAGGCCCCCTGGTGTGCCCGGCCCTCAGGTCCAGTGCAGAGCTCCAGCCAGGCTGGGTGACCAGCCCCAGCCCTGCTGCTGGCTGGCTCTGCAGCCTTCGACCCCTCCTCCTCCTCCTCCTCCTCCTCCCCACAGCAGGTAATTACCCCCCCTGAAGGACTGTTGGACTTGTTTTACTCACATCTCCACTGGAGAGCCAGGAGGGGCAGAGGTTAGCACAGGCCAGACTGCTTAATACCCTGAGTCTGCTGAGTGCTCTCAAACAAGAGGTAAAAGTCTCTTTCTCTTCCCAAAAAGCCCCAGCAGAGCCCCAGGCGATGCGTGTGGTGTTAGGCAGCCTCACATCAAAGTTACTTAACAGAGTGTCTTGGATATCTTTACTTTTGTGAGAACACACTGAAACAATTTCTTGATGGAGAGAAAACAACTGGGCACTTTGTTTCCAGCCTCTGAAGGATCAAACTTGGGGGGATTTGCAATTAACTAGCACCATTAATGAAAAATAGGTGACCTAACCCTTTGGAGCTCCTGCATCTGGGCTGCAGAGTTCAGCTGCTCCCTTGCTCAGAGGAGGGGTTATTTTTAGTGCAGAAATGGTCTGTTTACACTTGAGAGCACAGGCAGAGCACACTCTGAGTGTAACACCCCCCTGCACATGCTGCAAGCCAATTTCCGTGCACACCAGAGAAGGCAATTAAATGTGTGTTTTGGAAGATGGCCACGAGCCCATAATAAAGCCCCCAAAACCCAGAGAGGTTCACAGCTCCCTTTCCAGGAGTAGTTTGTAATTATTTTTCATTATTAGATGGTGGTGTGTAAAGGCAGTTTCTGCTCCAGGGGAAAAGAACGTGAGCTACAGCACTAATCATCTCTGCACAAGGTTCTACCTCCTCCACCAGCTCTCCCTCCACCCTACCACAAGAGCAGCAGCTGGAAGGATGCTGGAAACAAGACGCTGGTGGGGAGAGCAACCAACACCCCAGACAGGAGAGACGTGGCAGCTGCAGCAACAGGCAGTCCCTGGGGCAGCACTCACACACTCCCATCAGCGCTGAGCTGAGCCTGGGAAGTGAGAACCAAAGGGACCAAATATTCCCTGGCTGAGCTGCCACCACCAGCCACAGCTGTGGGGAGCTGCCAGGGGAGAGGGGCAGGAGGCTGGTGGCACCTCTGTCCCCATGGCATCCCCTCTGACCCACGGTGTGCAGGGGCTGCAGCATCACCTCTTCCAGGCCCTTTGTCCCCTCCACAGCTCGCTGGGACTTGCAGGAGCTGCCACAAAGGTGAATTGTCACCTGCTTGTCCCACACCTTGTCCCACAGCCAGCACACGGGTGGCACTGTGCTCAGAACAGGGCAGCCTCTCCCTCAGCACCAGCCCCTCAGCCTGTAGCTGGTTTTGTCCAAGGGCTGGTAGCAGAACAAGTGTGAGAGGGTGTTGTCTATGGTCACTGCCTCCTGTTTCCCCTGGCGCTGGGCTAACAGGGTTTCACATCCCTGCAGGCAACAGACAACAAACGTTTCACTCCGGCCTTCCTGGCTGGAGATATTAATGTCCAGACCTTGTTATGGGTAGAGGATAAACTGTGTCTGAGCCTAGAGCTGGGTGGTGTGAGTGTCACCTTCCCGTGGTCACAGCTTGTTCAGGCTTGGGGAATTCAAGAGTGACTCTGGGAAGCACTGAGCAGAGCTACAGGGATGGGCTGAGCCACGGCCACAGGCTGGTGCTGTGCTCGCAGCTCTTTGCAGGCTGGAGCAGAGTTTTCTGCTCCTTGACAACTGCTCTTCCTCCCAGAGGTGAGAGGAATCCAAAGTGAGTCGTGCAGGGATGGGCGCCCAGGAGACAGAGCTGCTGCAGGGGCTGAGAGGCAGGTGTGGACTGAACAGCCAGCAGGAGGTTTCCTCAGCACAGGAGAAAACAAATTCCAGGTATTCCTTTTCCTCTGTCCCGTTTTTGGAGTCCTGATGCTGTCAGGGAGGAATATGGGAGTTACAGCATCAAGTGTGTCATCCCCGGAGTGCAGACACGCCTGGGCAGCTGCAGCCAGGCCCTGGGTGTGCCACGGGCAAGGAGTTCAGGTCAGCAAAATCTGGCAGGGAAGAGCTCGGAGGTGCAGCAGGGCAGGGGAAGGTTCAACAGAGACTCTGCGAGGGGCTGGAGCCAGAGCTACGGCGGAGCAGGGCAGGGTGAGGGGTGAAGGGTACAGGGTGCAGGATGAAGGGTGGAGGGTGCAGGGTCAGTCCTGCCCTGCCCTGCAAGCAGAGGGACAACGCTGGGAGAGCGACTCGCCGCTCCCCGGCTGCCCAGCCAAGCCCCGTGCTGCAGCGGAGTGCGGGGCACAGCAAGTGCCATCTGCCGGCTGTGCCTGCGCGGGGCTGGGGCAGAGCCCGCTGCTGCTGGAAACGCTTCTTCGGGAGCTTCCTCAGGCTTTCCGACCGGCTGGTGCACCAGGCTGTAGCAGAGGACTTGCTGAAACCTGGGCAGAGGTGGGGAGATGCTCCAGGAGCACTCGGGTATTTCCCTGAAGACAAAACCCGGCCGGTTGTGGGACGTGAGGCCGCGCAGAAGAGTCTGGCAAGGGCAGAGCTGGAGCAGCTCCTGCTGGTGGAGCCCCTCCGAGCAGCAGGGCCGGGAGCTGGAGTCACACCCGGAGGATGAGGAGGGTGAGGAGGGCTGCAGGGCTGTCCCCAGCACAGCCCCCACGCCAGCGTGGTGCTCAGCAGCCACGCGGGGTCCGGATGAGGGAAGAGGCAACGATCTGAGATGCTGGATTGAGACGTTTCCATGGCAACCCGGCCAGGGAACCCCCTCCCCGAGCTGGGAGCTGGGGCTGG